CCCCAAAACCCCAAAACCCCAAAACCCCGAGATTACTTATGTGAATTTTCTGCTAAATAAATACGATAATCATTTTAACTTAAACAGATAGCTAGTCAATTATCTTTAGGTTTATCATATTCAACAGCAGATATCTCTCTTACCTCACCATCATCAACTCTCAATATAAAGCTCTTTTAATCCTCTATGTATATTAAGGGTACGCTGGCACCTCGGTAAAATGTCAAATGCTTAGACTTGTCGATAGTTTTAACGATTTAATTTTCCTTCATGTCGTAAATGCAAAGCCCATCTTGATGTCTAATGAAGATGGTATTGTCCTAAAAATAGAAATTAGGCAAGACGCTGATATTAAGGATAAGTTTAACTAACACGTTAAGCTAGATAGTAACTGAGTAGGTGTGTTACCCATTGCAGGTAATGATGTGGATCTGACTGAATTCACCCCAAGCAGCGCAGGCTAATTAAAAGTTATCAGGACCATCTGAAGGGACCATGCAGACACTGTTTACATATTTTCCCTACAACTATGTTGATACTTTATCTATTTTCGTCACCTTCTTAAGATTTTAACTAAAGTCTGTCTTCTAAATCTGTAGTCCGTTGCATGTGCCAAATACCAGATATAGTTCATCTTTAAGTATCACTTGAACCATATCAAGTACTTAGAACTATTAAGCAACAGCTTGATCTTTTATTTCCTCTTAATATTCTAACTTAAAATCAGCTAGACTAAAGAACTTAATCTGGGGATTATTCGTAGAAACAGCAATTAGAGAGTTACCAACTAAGCACTACTAAAGTATATCGTTAGAAATCTTGGTTTAATAGGCCTGCTTTTTCTTGTTCTTGTGATCCCACATAAATATTATTTCGTTAATCGATCCAAAGAATAGTTTCTCCTCAATGCTACAAAAACTGCTTATTTGATGCTTCTTAACATCAAGTCTGTCTTTTAGTTTTTTAGTTTTACTATCATAGACTTCTATATCTTAGTTAAGTTCTTGCAAGAAAATAAGGTCATTATAGTAAGCAACAAATTTTGTGTTCTTTTGACTTAACTTTATCTTTGTCTTATCCTAGGGCATTAACTCACTTAGAATAAGCATGTTTTCCTTTTTACTAATTGGATTTTGGTTGAAATCCATTTTCTCATCATCAGACTCATACAATCCCAACTTATCCATGATCTGATTCATTAAATTGATATACTACTGTTGCGCCTGCTTTTTGGGCATATTCTTCTTTGCCATCCAAGCAGCCCACTTCTTTCTTTGCTTAATATGGAAGCCGCCTGGACGTAACTTATAGTTGTTACCTTCAGTTGCTTGCTTGTAAAGTCCGTACAAATCTAGATTTTAATCCATTGATATAGAATGCAGAATATTTTGATTGTACCTCACAGCAATATCGCAAAAATGCTTGAATTTTGAATCTAGCTCAGCATCCTCAGATTGTGTTGAATCCTTATTGATCATATCACCCTTACTAAGCTCTGATAAAATGCTTTCAGAGATTGAGGCTTTATCAACTACTCCATCCTAGAATATTGACACAGAGTGAGGGCTCTTATTTCGCAACGCTCTGGCAGAGGCAAGCATGAATGGTGAACTGTTGCTGTTTATTTAGTCATCTTATTAGTTCTTGACATGCTATAAAAGTGGATCCATTTTGCTGTTGATTTCTTTCACCTCATTCTAAATATAAAGCATTTGATCACTTAAATCAGCGAGATATCGCTCTAGATTCGATTATGGTTCAAATAATTCGTCAATTGGACCATTCAAATATTCTTAAGGGTTTTTTGTTTATCCATTTTACTAGCAATAAACAAGAGAGTCATCTATTAACTCAGTGATATAATCTCGGAGTTCCTTCATCTGCTTAAGGACAGCTTCTTCTTCTTTCTATGGACTATTAAACCTTTTTTACTGCAATCTTAATTCACTTAGTCTGCTCTAACATATTTTAGCTATCATTTCAAAATCATCTAGTGTAAGAGTTTCTTTTTTATCCTAGATATATGATTCTCTTTTCTCCAAGAAATCAAATTTTTATTCCTCTAAATCTAAAATCTCCATAAAGTAATTATAAATTAAGGACAGATTCTAAGATATATTTTATTTTTTTCTAATTCACTTTTTGTAAGAATTGAACTGAATGAGGGGTTTTGGGGTTTTGGGG